CGGTGTGGCGCGAACAAGGCACCACGGAGGGTCGCGAGGAACAGAGCACTCTATGCACGCCCCGCAGGACTCCCAGCGACAGAGCCTCTCCCATGGAATGCCTTCGCCCAGCTTGTTGTAGCACCATGGGAAGCATTGCTTCGGGGGTGTTGCCGGCGGCGGGCTCGGCGGGCTCCGCGGGAGCAATAGCAGTGGCAGCGCATCATGCACCAGTGCAGTACCAGTGCTCATAGCGCAGCTCACAGAGACTTTCCTCCTTCGCTAGACTCAGCAGCCGGCATTCACTCTCCTCTTGCTTGCTGCAACGATCCCGTTGGCGCGGCAACCACGGCTCAAGTTTTGGAGCTTTGACGTCTAACTAGTTTTTGCAAATCAATGGCTCGTCGATGCCAGATTGCCGGCAGTAAATTCGCGACGGCAACCACTTCTTGGGCTTTGTGGCCACTTCACGCACGGTCCGAGTCGGTCGGTGTGGATGGATGGATGGTCCGATCGAGTCGGTGTGTGTGTGTGTGTGTGTGTGTGTGTGTGTGTGTGTGTGTGTGTGTGTGTGTGTGTGTGTGTGTGTGTGTGTGTGTGTGTGTGTGTGTGTGTGTGTGTGTGTGTGTGTGTGTGTGTGTGTGTGTGTGATGGATGGATGGAGGAAGGAGGGCGCGCCGCCGCTCGCCGGGCCGGCCTCGCCCGGGGAGCCTCCTCCCTCCTCACCGCGCCGCGTGCCCAGCGCTTACATCTTACAAGAGGTCCCTCACACCGAGTGAATATGTGAAGACAAACCTTCTTCAAAATGAATGTGAAGGCACTGTCGTATCCTACGTACGGCGTTTCGCTCGGGAAGGAAGCTGCCGGCGGCGATCCACAACTCGTGTTATAGAGAAGCAGAAGGAAGGATTCTCTCTAGCAGCAAGGGTTTGAGAATTGAGATGAAAGCTCTATTGATGACAGTGAGACGCCAACTCCCTTTTGAGAGATCGTGACTCGCCCCATCGTCTGCCATGGCATGCTCCCAGTGCACTCCCAGGGTGTCTCGGTGCGCACACTGCGCGCGCGTCCGCCGCAGACCACCTGTGACCTGACCACGATCCACGTACCTACCACGTGACCACGCACCGCCTCTCTGATCTTCTCTGACCACACGAGTGTGCGCAGTGGCAGTGCCCCAGTGCGCCAGGTGGGACCCGACCTGCACGCTGCAGCGCGCGCAGCCCTGGTCAGATGATCTAATAGATAGTTCAACAAAACCCCACCCGGGAACTCTCCCCTTTGCTGACACCTCTCTATCCTGCGTCAGTAAAATTGCCGGTCCGTATGGGGTACGGCGGAAGGGGACTAGCGAATTAAAGCATCAACGCTTCCCCGCCCCCAGACAAGCCGTCACGCGCCGATTCTGCCTCTCCTACGGCCACTACCTCTCCTAGCGCCTCTCCCCCGGCCGCCGCGCCGCTGAGAGCTGCCTCGCATGGCCTCCTCGGGCGCGAGGTGGTTGCCCAGGCCCCACTGTGGCTCTGCCCTGCCGCGCAGCGTGCGGTGCGCCATGTAGTTGCCGTCGGACGGCGAGGCGACGCCGTAGAGGTAGGTGCCGTACTTGTCAAAGTCGTCTGGCCACTCCGTTGGACGGCCGCCCAGGGAGGCGTTCCTTTTGAGCTCCCAGCAGCCACCCGGCATAAAGTTGCGCTGCACGGTGGGCGGCGGGATCAACGCGAGGCGGGACAGGGGTGGATGGGGGGTGGGGGGTGGGGGGGGAAGGGGTGGATTAGGGGGGGGGGGGGGCTTAGACAGCTGGCGAAAACGGATCCCCCCTCCCCCGTGCACAGGAGCGGGGCAGTAACTGCCACCCGTGAAGCTACTGCAACCCGAGCCTGCATCCGGAAGCGCTTCGAGCTCCCCCGGGAACTTTCGCTCCCCGCCAAACCAGAC